GATAAAAGATATGATCGATAATTGAGATTGACACATATCCATATCTCATTATTGATTGGATCATATTGACGAAAAGATTATAATTTCACGGTAAACGAACAAGTTTGGTTTGTCACATCACGTGACATTTCTCATCACATGTACTGCCCTGACACATTGCTAGATGTCAATTTGGGACGACGAATGTGAATTAGTGATAAATTAAAAGGGGTGTTTTAATTTATCGATTTTGATTAGACCAAAATAATAATTCACGTCGTTAGGTATCGTAATCGGAACCTAATGGGTCACACACAAAACAGAACCAGAAGAATGAAATTTATCAATTAATTAATTGACAGTGTTGGACAATTAATTAATTGAGTTGCTTATTAATAAACTCGAATTAATTAATTGGATTAATTAATTCATGGACCAGATTTAATTAATTTGATTAATTAAATATCGGACCGGTAAAGTTTAGAGATGGGCCAGCCCACTTGGGCTTTTATTAATAGGCTGCTATGGTTTGTAAACTGTAGAGATTTTCATTATTCTTGCTAGTACAAGAAAAGTAAACCCTAACTGTCATTCTTGTTCTCTGTGTGGATCATCATTGAAAGCTGGACAATTGAACAGCTTCGATTACATATCGTGATCATTGGAGTTCGAGAATCAGCAAAGGAGCTTATAGAATTCATCAAATGTATTATTCTCAACACAATTTCTATCTAAACACAAAGTAGATCTGTGGTGGGAATTGAAAAATTATTAATTTTCCGCCGTGCATGTTAAGTAAATTCTCAACACAAGGTACAATATAGCTAAATTTTATTTAAAAAAATCAGAATTTTTCAGATTTGTTTAAGAATTAATTAAAAATATTAAACATAAGATGTCTACTTCCATTTTATTTCACATCAACCTTAAATAGAGGTTTAAACATGAAAGAAATACTATCAAACAAACTATATCGAAGACATTAGAAACTCGTACATGTAGAAAAAGCATTTAAACCTGCAAGGTACAATATAGCTAAAGGCACAATATATAATTAAATTAATTTTCCGTAAAAAATTAATTAATTCCGTAACAAATTTAATATTATTATATTATTGCATTGTTTGGAAAAACATCGCTAAGTTACCTAATGTCCCCATTGAATTTGAGTCCTAACTTCGCCAATGCCTCCGAAATGGGGAGGCCACTGAAAAGAACTATACTTTATATGAACTCCTCATGATCATTCTTTAAATATATACTACCAATTCAAAGTTGATAAAATTCAACAGTTGATGCCAGTGAAGAAATTGCATGGCCAAATAAAGTTTTAAATAAGAGTTTATATGTGTAAGGAGCCCTTTGACATTTTGCTTTCAGTTATTAGCTGTGTTTGAGGACATCTATATAACATACCTAAACTGTTTTCACCAACTAAGATTTTCAAAGAATTCCGTTGAATAATCCAAGAGGAGATGCCAGATCAGATCCGTGACGAGGAAAAGGTCCATTTGAAGAAGATAGAGCAGCTAATGAAACGGAGAACATGTATTTTTCAACATCTTGGATTCTTACTCTAGTGTCTATAGTCTGTCACTAAATGATCACTTTAAAAATTAGATTTAAATTTAATTTTTTTCATATTTCTAATACTTTTAATAGTTTTTTCATGGGAAGTTTAAAACAGTAAACCTTTTATCATTATTCAAATGCTTTTGTTTTTTTTTTTAATTATACTTCGATCACAAGACCGTCAGTTCTTGTCGAGTAATCAGGCGGTATACATGTCTCTACATTTTATGTTGGAAGGTCTTGCTGTGGTAATGGATGGAAGAGTTGGTGCATGCAATGGAAGCTGAGATAAGGACGTGGGACTGCAAGAGCCAGAGCGGCTAGGTGTAGAGATGTGAAGGGACAAAAGATAGAGGTGTTTAAATGTCCCGTGAAAACCATGGCCTTGCCCCTCTTTACTGTAGGAGTGTTAAATAGGGCAAGCTGGCTCGCCCTATGAGCTCCCCCTTTGGTGGGGCAAGTCGAAGTGGCTCGTGACACTACAAATAATCGTGGCTTTAAGAATGGATTTTCTGTAGATGAAGCGATGATATCTATTGTTATGATTTTATAGACCAACAATATTCGATCGAAATTTCATTGCTCTTTTGAGAGTCATTGAAAGTTACCAACGGATTTTCGACTAATAAAAGTTTTATCATTACCTATGGATATTCCATTGATAAAAGTATTAACATTACCTAAGGATTTTCCGTAGGTACTAGTGTTGTAATTATTTATGGAATTATCATTGGTTTATTTACAGAATTTTCATGGGCAATGGAACATGTGGATATGGCTAAACGACCGTATTGAGATAATGAACAGTCCATATCCTCGGGAAAATTTACAGTAGGGGCAATGGGATCAGCTCTCCTCACCCCCAGATCCAAGTTTTTTTTATATATAGTGGAAATTACACCTACCCAAAATTTTAAAATGCACAATTCAAAAATTAGATTTGAATTCCTTTTTTTCTTTCAAAAATCCAGTAACAATTTAAATTTTTTAATATTACATTAATAATATTTTAAAATTAAATTAATCTATATACCCACCCTACCTCTATCCACCCAAACCCTAATTTTTTTCCCACTTCCTCTTCTCTCCACATCTCTCCCTTCTCTCTC